CGATTACAATTTCAAGTGTATATAGTTTGATTACGATTACAAACACTCAATAACGATTACTGGAACAAGTGTAATATTAATGACGACTGCAGATTACGACTAACCCCCATGTCTCTACACCTCCAACAACGACACTGCCGACTAACTACGACCTCTTTACCTACACGCCGTCAACAGGACCAAGAACGACCACGGGAGGAGAATGTGGTCGTTCTTGATATCAAGTCTTACCTAAATCCTCCCCACACACACACCACTCTCCCTCCCTCCTGGATCAACTGCTCTCTCTCTCCCCATTAGTTGAAAGCTTCCCATCCCACGCCCTCCTACTGTTGCCACGCCCTCCCCACCTACTGTTGCCACGCCTCCCCCTAGCTGTCGGAGCCACGCCCTCCCCATCTGTTGCTATGCCCACCTATTACTCCCACCCCCCTATCTGTTGTTGCCACCTCCACCTACTGCCTGCTTGGACAAAATTCAAAACACACACTCTCTCTCTCTCTCTCCTGGGATCATCATCACAGGAGGTTCAAGCACACGAGGCCAACTTGCTTCGTGTTTCCATCTCGCCATTCTCGAATTTTCTCACCGCCATGGTAAAGGTGTTATCCGTCACGCTTTAACACACACACACACACACACACACACACACACACACACAGTGAACCTTCAGGTGATAATTGTGTTTTTTTTTTACATCTGGTGATATTAAGCGATAATAAAGGTTAGTAGACCAGGTATTTCCCAGGTATGATGATAAAGTGATAGTATGTTCTCCTAGTTTTATACCTAATTATTAAGACTCTCTCTCTCTGAACTTGACGTTAGGTTAGGTTCAACTCATAACCACTGACCCAAGCTGACGTGTCGTGTCGTAACCGAACTCGACCCAACTTTCACACACACACACACACACACACACACACACACACACACACACACACACACACACGACCAATCACTCCACATCAATCAATTACGTAACAGCTAGTTCATCCGCCGACCCAATAACCAATCACGCCAATAACACTCACCACACAGCCAACAATCATTAACGGCTGAGTGCATTCGCTGGCCAATAACAATTAAAGGATGAACGCCACACACACGACCCAGGTAGCTAAGTCACCAGTCTTTTAAATGCTCAAAAACTATGTACCTTGATTTATGACTCATGATTCTATGTCTTGCTGACTCATGACTATGCCTGGCTGACTCCATTCCATGTCTGCTGACTCATGACTCTAGCAATCCTGTGAACTAGAGTAAATTTACATGAAGATTAACAACCCCCCGATGATTAAGCACCCTGACCTGATCTAACCTAATAAGAACAGAAGAACATAAGAAAATAAGGAGTCTGCAAAGGGCCGGTTGGCCTGTGCATGGCAGCCCCTGTCGAGAGTTACTACCACTCTATCATCCATGAATCTATCTAGCCTCCTTTGAAACTTTCCAGAGTTCGCACTTACTACAAAGTTGCTAAGCTTGTTCCACTGTCCACCACCCTATTTAGAACCAGTTTTCCTATCTCCCCCTAACCTAAACTTATCCAACTTGAATCCGTTGCTCTGAGTCCTATCCTGCTCGGATATTATAAGAACTTTATCTATATCCCCTTTATTGATTCCTTTCACCCACTTAAATATCAATCATATTCTCCCCGCACCTTCGTCTTTCTAGGAATGCAAGTTAAGTTTTTTAACCTATCCTGATATGGAAGGTTTCTAAGCCCGGAATAATTTTGGTCATTCTTCGCTGCACCGACTCTAGTGAATTTATATCCATTCTATAATAGGGCACCAGAACTGAACCCATAATCGAGGTGCGGCCTGACTAGCGCAAGATATAGTTGCAATAAGACCTTGCACTCTTGTTACTTACACTTCTAGATATAAAACCCAATACTTTGTTTGCCTTATTTCGAACATTAACGCACTGTTTTCTAGGCCGTAGGTCCGGCTTACAAGTACCCCAGGCTCTCTTCAAGTCGACTTCTCTAGGTTGATGTTGTTAAGGCTGTATACATTATAAGTATTTGTTCCTCAATATTAAGCATTGCATTTGCTGGTGTTGAATTTCATTTATTTATCAAACCCCTGGCAGTTTATTTAGATCCTCCTGTAATTGCATCCTGCCCTGAATTAATTGCCGCCCTATTTTGGTGTCATCCAAACCGCTTATGTCACTGCTGATCCCAGTATTCAGATCGTTTATGTAGATTATGAACAAGAGGCTCAAAGGACCCCTGGTTACCGCGGCCCACTCAGATTTAACACCACTACGCTGACCCTCTGCGTTCTATCATCGGTGAGCCATGATTTTATCCATAAAACTTTGCCCTCGATACCATGAGCCTCAATTTTTCTCAGAAACCCTGATGCAATTTCTGTCAAATGCTTAAGTCTAAGTAAATAACATCGTAATTTTCGTCATACTACCCTCGAAGACTTTCCTAAAAAACAGAATTGTTAGACAAGATCTTCCCTTTGTAAACCAAAATAAAATAATACTCCTTGCCAACCCTTCCCCTAACCCCACCTTTTCCAACCCTCACCAGGTAAGCTTCCTAACTCAGTGTCTACCTGGTGAGAGCGGCAATGCGCCACAAAGGCAACTAACTGCAGCGTAATGAAAGCGTTCACTGACGAGACGCACATCACCACTAACGGGAGCAAGCACAGGGCGAATAAGTAAGCAAGCAACAGGGCGAACAGATAAAAATGCGTATTCACCCCTTTGTGACATGGTTGTGGGGATCATACCTTATTGTGTTTGACCTTCACACATGAGGAGTGAAGTGAGGGTAGTGAGGAGGAAGTGAGGGGATAGTGAGGAGGAAGTGAGGGGTAGTGAGGAGGGAGGAAGGAGGTAGGAGAGGAAGTGGAAGGGGCATGAGGAGGATGGGGAGGGGAAGGGAGGAGGAGTGATGGAGGAGTGAAGGAGGGGTGAGGGAGTGAAGTGAGAGGTGAGTGAGTGCAGGGTAGTGGAGGAGGAAGGAGAGTGAAGGTGGGGTGAGGAGGAAGGGAGGGAGGAGGAGGAAGTGAGGGTAGTGAGGAGGAAGGAGGGGTAGGAGGAGTGAAGTGAGGGCAGTGAGGAGGAAGGGAGGAGGAAGTGGTGAGGAGGAGTGAAGTGAGGGGAGGGAGGAGGATGAGGGGTAGTGAGGAGGAAGTGAGGAGGTGGAGGGTAGTGAGGGAGGAAGTGAGGGGTAGAGGAGGAAGGAGGGGTAGTGAGGAGGAGTGAGGGGTAGTGAGGAGGAAGTGAGGGGTAGGGAGGAGGAAGTGGAGGAGTGAAGGAGGGGAAGAGGAGGAATGAGGGTAGTGAGGAGAAGTGAGGGGTAGTGGAGAGGAAGTGAGGGTAGGGAGGAGTGATGTGAGGGCAAGAGGAAGAAGTGAGGGTAGGAGGAGTGAAGGAAAGGAGATGTGCAAAGTGAGGGTAGTGGATGAGTGAGGAGTGGAGTGAGGGAAAGGAGATGGGGAGGAGGGAGGTGAAATGAGGTAGTGAGGAGGAAGTGAGGGAGGAGTAAGTGAGGGTGAGTGGAGGAAGGAGGGGGGAGGGGAGGAAGGGGAGAAGAGGTTGAGGGTGAGTGAGAAGGAGAGTGAAAGGGGAGTGGGAAGAGGGTGCTCAATAAGTAGTCCTCATCCCTTTGTTGTGGCAAATCTGACCCAATCGCTTCCTTCATCCTGGATTCTACAGCAGTGGTGAGGAATGACAGACAGCGCAGATGGTGGGATGAACACACACACACACACACACACACACACACACACACACACACACACACACACACACACCAACAACACACACCACAAACAACAACAACAACACAACAACAACACACCTCTGCATGCCCGACAATAACAAGGGCTGTGTATGCTGAAGATAACAGTCTAGAGCTTTTAAAGTCTCACTCCATCACTGCTCACTATCACCAGCACCATTATCACCACAACCACTATCACCACTACCACCATCATTACCACCACACAACTACTACCATCTTCGTGATCTTCGTCTTAACAAGAGTATGGCATTGATTTCAGAAATGCACCTACAAAACCAACCAACCAGCCAACCAGGATGACACATCTACTCTCAGAGAGAGAGGCAGGCACTGTTTGATCACCAATACGTGCCAGGATCCAAGGTCACGGCCAACCTTGTTTATCATTAATATGACCCACTTACTCCCACACGTCAAACACCGATAAACAACCATTACCAGACGGTTTCTATGGTCTCTAGATGGTCTATGTCACTGTGGTCTGGATGGTCTATGTCACTCTTATGTGGTCTCTAGATGGTCATGTCACCTTATGTGGTCTCTAGATGGTCTATGTCACTCTTATGGTCTCTAGATGGTCTATGTCACTCTTATGTGGTCTCTAGATGGTCTATGTCACCTATGTGGTCTCTGGATACCTATGTCACTCTTATGTGGTCTCTAGATGGTCTATGTCACCTTATGTGGTCTCTAGATGGCCTATGTCACTCTTATGTGCAAGCTATGTCACCTGTGTCTCTAGATGGTCCATGCCACCTTATGTGGTCCTAGATGGTCTGCGTCACTCTTATGTGGCTTCTGGATGGTCTATGTTCTTATGGTCTCTGGATGGTCTATGTCAATTTTATGTGGTCTCTGGATGGTCTATGTCACTCTTATGTGGTCTCTGGATGGTCTATGTCACCTTATGGTCCTGGATGGTCTATGTCACCATGTCTCTGATGGTCTTGTCACCTATGTGGTCTCTGGGATATGTCACTCATGGTCTCTGGATGGTCTACCTTTATGTGGTCTCTGTAATGGTCTATGTCACCTTATGTGGTCTCTGGATATCGGTCACCTGTACCTGATGGTCTATGTCACTCTTATGTGGTCTCTGGATGGTCTATGTCACCTTATACTGGATGGTCCAGCCACCTTATGTGGTCTCTCTGGATGGTCTATGTCACCTTATGTGGTCTCTGGATGGTCTATGTCACTCTTATGTGGTCTCTAGATGGTCTATGTCACTCTTTGTGGTCTCTGGATGGTCTATGTCACCTTATGTGGTCTCTGGATGGTCTATGTCACTCTTATGTGGTCTCTGGATGGTCTATGTCACTTTTATGTGGTCTCTAGATGGTCTATGTCACTCTTTATGTGGTCTCTGGATGGTCTATGTCACCCTTATGTGGTCTCTGGATGGTCTATGTCACTCTTATGTGGTCTAGATGGTCTGTGTCACCTTATGTGGTCTCTGATGGTCTCAAGAGAACCACATCAAGATGGTCTCTCTTTGGTCTCTTAATCTTGGGTGATATAAACTGTGATGTTTAATCAACAGGTGATCCGTCCAGAACCAGTTGTTTATTATTTTCAGTGTGGGTGACCTTAACACTAATCACCTGCTGGTGGTGGTCCTTTGTGGCAGCCAAACCCATATATGTACACTGTATAAACTTTCTCCCAACACCACCAGAGAGGAATTCTGAAGAGTCGTCACGCTCAAGAGACTTCTCTTCTCATCCCCTGAGAGAAAACCCGGCGATTTATCCAGGCATGACGAGAGAGACACAGAACTGACACAGCACCACGACACAGCACCACGACACAGAACCACGACACAGCACCACGACACAGAACTACAACAACCACGACACAGAACCCCGCCACAGCACCACGACACAGAACCCCGCCACAGCACCACGACACAGAACCCCGCCACAGCACCACGACACAGAACCCGACATCACTACGACACAGAACCTCACACAGCACCACGACACAGAACCCCGCCACAGCAGCACGACACAGAACCCGCCACAGCAGCACGACACAGAACCCCCGACACAGCACCACGACACAGAACCCCACAGCACCACGACACAGAACCCCGCCACAGCAGCACGACACAGAACCCCGCCACAGCACACACGACACAGAACCCGCCACAGCACCACGACAGAACCCGCCACAGCACCACGACACAGAACCCGCCACAGCACCACGACACAGAACTACGACACAGCACCACGACACAGAACCCCGCCACAGCACCACGACACAGAACCCCGCCACAGCAGCACGACACAGAACCCCGCCACAGCACCACGACACAGAACCCGCCACAGCACCACGACAGAACCCCGCCACAGCACCACGACACAGAACCCCGCCAGCACCACGACACAGAACCCCGCCACAGCACCACGACAGAGAACCCCGCCCCAGCACACACGACACAGAACACCTGACACAGCACCACGACACAGAACCCCGCCACAGCACCACGACACAGAACCCCGCCACAGCACCACGACACAGAACTACGACACAGCACCACGACACAGGAACCCCGCCACAGCAGCACGACACAGAACCCCGCCACAGCACCACGACACAGAACTACGACACAGCACCACGACACAGAACCACGACACAGCACCACGACAGAACCCCGCCACAGCACCACGACACAGAACTACGACACAGCACCACGACACAGAACCACGACACAGCACCACGACAAAACCCGACACAGAACCCGCCACAGCACCACGACACAGAAAACCCCGCCACAGCACCACGACAGAACCCCTGCCACAGCACCACGACACAGAACCCCGCCACAGCACCACGACACAGAACCCGCCACAGCACTGACAGAACCCACAGCACCACGACACAGAACCCTGCCACAGCAGTCACGACACAGCACCCACAGAACCCGCCACAGCACCACGCCACAGCCTGCAGATGAAGTGTTCCCCGAGAGGTCTTGTTCCAGACGTCTCAGGTTATAGTGGCACCTACAGGAGCCAGAGATTAGTCCATCTGACTAAAACAAACATCTACTTGGGTGAACAGCTGTGGTAATGGCACACAGGCCCCTGAGGACCAATTTGCACCACATTGGCACCCACACTCCCATGATCACTCCCCTTCCCTTGATCTCTCCCTGGTTTCTCCCTCCCTCTCCCTTTCTCTAGTGCAGATGGAGGTTGTTCTTTCTCCCTTGCCTATACACTCCCCATCTTCCCCTCTCCCCACCTCCCTCCCCATCTTCCTCTCCCCACCCTCCCCCCTCCCCCATCTTCCTCTCCCCCACCCTCCTCCCCATCTCCTCCTCTCCCCACCTCCCCTCCCTATCTTCCCTCCCTCCCCACCCTTCCTCTCTATCTTCCCCTCTCCCCCACCTCCCTCCCCATCTTCTCCTCCCACCCTCCCTCTATCTTTCTCCCTCTCCCCACCTCCTCCTATCTTCCTTTCTCCCCACCCTCCCCCCATCTTTCCCTACCTCCCTCCCTACCTTCCCTCCTCCACCTCACCACATTTCTCCTTTCCACTAACCTCCTTTTCCCCCCCTCTCTCCATATACATTCCCCACCTCTATATACACATACTCCTCCCCTGCCCCACACACAAAGGTAACGATGCTCTTCATTGCCAATTGTGTGGTTGAACAAAGGACTGCAGTTGGCAGGATGGTAGTATAGGTGGTTCAACCCCTCCCTACCAAACACCAACCCACCCAACCCCCACCACGCCCCCACCACGCCCCCCCACCACCCTCCCCCTTCAAGGAGCCTTAACTGTGTACCAGATTACTAACACGCATTAGGTCCTGTTTGCCATACCTATAAAAACAACAACAACACACACCCAGGTTAAGATCCATTGATATTATTGTCCAAGGTAGGTATGTTTGGTTACACACACACACACACACACACACACACACACACACACACACACACACACACACACACACACACACACACACACACACACACACCCAGTGAAAGAATCAACAAACATCAAATTCAAACATCAGGTTGCTTAGTAGCTTAATCTCCCCCCTCCCTCCTCCTCCTCCTCCCCTCCTCCTCCTCCTCCTCCTCCTCCCACCATGAAGACACACTCAAAACTCACTAATCAAGGCCTCAACACCCCCCCCTCCCCCACCGGCCATGACAGGTGACCCAAGATGACAAAACAGATAAATTCCCCCCCACCCACCCACCACTCCTCTCCTACCTGCAAGTGAACCAAATAACTCACTTCAACAGAAAGAAAACAAATCTTGAACTCAACCCCCCCCCAAGTGAAGCAACACACACACACACACACACACACACACACACACACACACACACACACACACTCAGCTATCAAACTATGCTCCAATTTTTTCATATAATTTGTTCATTAACAAGACAATTGAAAGACTGACAGACGCATAGACGCACACAAGGGGCGGAAGAAACAGACAGACGGACGGACGGATGGTGGGTGGCATCCTAAGACCTCTTCCCCTGAGAATAGAGGTCCCGCGGGTCTGAATTCTCACACACACACACACACACACACACACACACACACACACACACACACACACACACACACACACACACACACACACACACACACACACACACACACACACACACACACACACACACACACTACCAAAAACGGCTGAGATCCCAGAGATGTTGGGGTGAGGAAGGAGGAGGAGAGGGGTTTTGATCCACACCTCGAACAAATGAGTCAAGTTTTTGCTTGTGGCCGCATTCACCCAGTAGCCACCTCAACCCTCATTCCTTCCTCCCTCTCCTCTCCCGCCATTCCTCTTTCTGGTTTAGCCTACTCTTGCTGTTCAGCCTCAGCTAATTCACCTGAAAATTAACCACCCCATGCCAACCTAACCTAACCTAACCCTCATTAATTGTTTCAGAGACGGACACACACACACTTGGGCCCTATATACACAAAAACAAACACTTAAAGGTCTACAGTCTACACAAACGCATGGGTCTACACAAACACACACACACACAGATCTACACATACTCAAGCCTACTGAAACACACACACATACATACATACATACATACATACACACACATGATCATCACCAGCTACACACGAGTGAGGGTGGAGACTCCACACTTATACTCATCCTATTAACACTCATACTTATCCTGCAACTCTAATCCTACTTACACCCACCACTGATCCCTCACTGTCACTCCCCATCCTCCTCACCTCCACCAAACCCTCATCATGGCTACCACCAACCCTCACTATGCACTAACAACCTCATCATGGCCACTACCAACCTCTCACCATGGCTACTACCATCAGCCACTACCAACCCTCACCATGGCCACTACCATCATGGCTACTACTAACCCTCATCATGGCCACTACCAACCCTCATCATGGCCACTACCAACCCTCACCATGGCTACTACCAACCCTCACCATGGCCACTCACCAACCCCTACCATACTACTATCATATTACTGCAAATAACCCCTCATCATGGCTACTACCAACCCTCATCATGGCCACTACCAACCTCACCATGGCCACTACCAACTACCATGGCTACTACCATCATGGCCACTACTGATCCTCACCAGGCTACTACCATCATGGCACTACCAACTCCCCACAAGCCCACTACCATCATGGCCACTACCAACCCTCACCATAGCCACTACCATCATAGCCACTACCAACCCTCATCATGGCCACTCACCAACCCTCATCATGGCCCACTACCAACCTCACCATGGCCACAACCAACCTCACCGCCACCAACCTCACCATAGCAACCAACCCTCACCATGGCCACTAACCAACCCTCACCATGGCCACACATTACCCAGACATAAAAAGCTAAATTGATCGCATGGTTGATCTTCATCTGCCATAAGCACCATCTAAAATAATGCAGTAGTCAGAGGAGGGGAGGAGGGGTGAGGAGTGAGGGGGAGGAGGTGTGAGGAGCACATGTAACTGAAATCAGCTACTGA